TTTTTAAAAAAAGTCCTCATGAAGACTTGTGAAAGAAGCAAGAAGTATCACTTCTCACCAATATTTCTATCTTGCTGTTTAGGGGTTTTGGTAGACCCTGTAGTACTGAGTGATGGAGGAACAGTGGTTAGATGATTGGTAAAACTACATCACAGAAGACAGCGAGGCAGTTTAGTGTCTTCAGGCCTAGATCCATAGAGGATGTGTGAATCTGTCTTGAGTCAAGTTTCCTGGAAAGACTGTAAAGCAGTGGGTTGGTCAATGGCCTACAGAGAAGCCAAACTTGTGAGAAAGTAGGAGGCTGGCTAGGGTGTGGTAGCACTGCATTACATCCAGTTCTGCTTCTGTTGCTGTGAGAAAATGTGCTGATAACAAGGAACTTCAGGGAGGAAGGGTTTATTTAGCTTACAGTTCTGGTTACACTTCGTTGCTTTGGAGGAGTCAGGATGGATGGAGTTTAAAGCAGTTCAAATTGTATCCACAGAGGAAATAATGCAGGTAGGCCTGCCTGCTTGCTGGCCTGCTGGCTCCTCTCATATAGTGCAGGACACCCTTTGTAGGGAATGGTGCCACCCTCAGTGGGCTGGGTCTTCCCACACCAGTTAGCAATCCAAGCAATCCTCCACCAGATCATCTGATCTAGATAATTCCTCAATTTCGAATGCCTTCCAGGGTAATTCTATATTGTGTTCAGTTGACAATTAGTGCTAACCATCACATGATCTTCTGAGAAAGGAAGGGTGAGAGGCTGAGAGGACCTTCCAGGGCATCCCTCACTGAGGGACAAATGCCAAGTCTGTGTGTCCTTGCATCAACCACTCACTATATGAGAGTTTTCCTAGTAAAATGTCTGTGAGAGAAGGGCAAGATTTAAGTCCTGGAAAGGGACTTGGATAAGGGCTGTCAGGAGCCAGCAGCCCTGGCCAGATCCAGAGCCAGCACCTCACAGCCAGGGTGTGTGACTCAGAAGTACAAACCCTGGGCTAGCTCACTGACAATCTGGCTTCTTACCTGTGGAGCCATCACTTTAATATCTATTTTTGTCTTTGTATGAAATTCCTCCTGAATCGACACGTCCATATTTTGCATTTAGACAGGCATCTGTCTTTTTATTCTTTCTTTGTTCTTCTTTCATACACTACACCTTGACCACAGCCTCCCCTCTCTCCACTCCTCCCAGCTCCCCCACACCCCCTCTTCCCCAGAGCCACTGCTCTGAAGGCCTATGTCCTTCAGAGCTACACCGGGGCACATGTCCCTTACCCTTCTGACCAGGGGAAAGTCTCAAGACCACGGGCAGACACTTTCAAGGGTCTCAAATACACAGAAGAAAAGGGAGAGCGGGCTGTGTGGGAAAGGGGCAATAATGCTTTCGGAGGGGAATGACTGAATGTGTCCAAATATGGTGGAAATGAGCTGTGAATGGAGATGCGGACAGAAACATTCCAAAGAGAAACAAGGAGCTGGGGGCCATGGGTTTCTAAAACTGTGAGTGCCCAGGCAGGAAGCAGAATTAAGCTAAACTAGGGAAAGGGAAAAATAGGTGTGTACGTGTACACATAAAAGTTGTTATTAGGATGTGCTACCCAGAGTGTTTCCTGTAATGGCTTCTATTTTCTAAGTGAAATCAGAGGATATTATCCCCTGAGAAGGAAGAAGGAAGAGATGGGATAAAGGCAGTGAGGAAACGAATATTTTCAAGAGTTGTTTCAGAAAATGGCAGTGAGATCCAACTGGGAAAACGATATAGGATGACCAGTTGGCACAGAGGGCTCTGAGGAGATCAAGGTTGTGGATTTGGGATGCCACTTAACTGTGATTTTATGTTATTTTCTCCAGCCTCATTCAGTGGGGCAGATAAATCAGCAGAAACAGTGGTTGCTGGTATTAATTCAAAGTTGAGGACAGAAGAGCAAGGAAATAAGAAGTCAAAGGTATTAGGAGGAAAGTGACTGGAGAAATGAACCATAAGGTCTAGGCTGGCTCCAGGTTGAGTAAAGATTGACAGGGCAAAAAGGAGAAAAAGGAGTGTCAGGGAGACTCAGGTGCAAGGAGCAGCTGTTAGAGAGAATGAGGTAAAGGGGGAAGAAGATCACGCTGATTTTAATGTTCCGATCAGTGCAGGCTGCACGGATATAAATTCTTGAATTTCTGACCCTCCACTGCAGTATGGCCAACCTACCAGGGACCACACTCAGAAAACCTGACTCTCCCTCTCCCAGCAGTCCATAGCTGGGGGATAGCTGTCAATAGCTCCTTGGCAAGGAAAGAGACAGCACGCGCCACTCCCGCTTTGCATGTCGGGTTTCGCCCATCCTGAGCTTGTGCACGTGTTTGTGCATGCTGTATCACATACGTGCACGTGATCCGTTAGGTGTGGAAAACAGTTTCCTTGTAGTCATCCGCTGCCGCTAGCTCTGAGAATCTATCCACACTCTTCCACAATGATCCCTGAGCCTTGGGAGAAGGGACTGTGACACTGACGTGCAATTTAGGGCTGAGCACTCCGCAGCCTCTCATTTTCTGCACTGGAACTACGTTGCAGTCTCTCTCTTGTTCTTTCTTAATCTCTATCTACTGCAAAAAGAAACTTCCCTGATAAGGGTTGAGGGATGCACTAGTCTGTAATGATAAATCATGTTCATTTATGAGTGTAATAGAGGCTTCTCCACTAGGTAGCAGGCCACATCCGCTGATGTCAGTGCTACATAGTTTCCATCTTTCGGAGTGGCCCTAAATCCAATCAGAACACGCTTGGTTACTTCCACGACCTTTGTGCCGCCGCTGCACCAGTGGACACTCCTTGACCGGCTCGTCCTTACTGTAGTTACGGGGCCCACGGTTGGATGACATGAATTACTTTTCTCCTCTGGGAGTGTGTGTAGCAGCTTCCAGCACTATGAGCTTGCCAGTAGGGATGAAGCTTCCAGGTGAAGACCTGTTTGATCTCTCCGTGTGCTGTGACTCAGGTATGAGGTATCTTCAGCAACAGGATCTTACCATCAGGATCTGGAGAGTAGCCAAGAGCTATTGGTGGCACCCTGTCATATTTGGGGGTCCCACCAGGCCTCACTGGCCAACACCTCCAGAAGAGGTGATCCATCCCTGGCACTGTGATTTTTGTTTGTTAGTCTCTCATATCTAGTCAAAACATTGTTGGACCATTATAAGGTAACTCCATTAAACTCCACTACACAAACTGAAAGAAGCCTTCCCAGTTAAAAGTTAGTCACCATGAAATGTTATCCCAGTAAAACTTAGCTGCCTCTTCTGCTGCTGTTTTGACATCATCTCACAGATGTCTTCAACAGCCCTTCAGCCCCTCACCTCCTTGTCTAGATCACTGGTCATTCCTCTGCAGAAGACTAGAAGAATACAGTGTGAATTTAGATGGAACAAAGCTTAGAAGGTTTTTTTCTGAGATATTTTCTGAAAATATTTAGATGTCTCGGTGACCAAAACAATAACCCCAATAGCAATTCCCCTTGAGTGTATTTGTTAGATGAGTTAGTATTAAATATTTAGGACCTTATCTAAAAATCACATTCATCTAATGCATTTTATTGGACAATATAAAATATACATGAATAATATATAAAAACAAAGCTTAGTGCAGAAATGTGAAGCCAGCCTGCCAGCCCTGGAACCTGTGCCCAAAGGAAAGGCCAGCAACCAACTGGCATTTTGACATGAAAGAAATGGCTTCACCAACACATTTTCAATTTGTCCAGATAACAAACAATTACCATCTGCATGAACTGTCTACAGACACGGAATTTATTTATACTTATCCCAGATTCTTTGCACTGAAAGTCCCTAGGGAATATAGTCAAACATTCTAATATTAATAAGTGTATCAAAAACTGTGATTTATATATACACTGAGCCATACATTTGGATAAACAAAGGGTAACTTCACATGATAAAGTACAGTTGTAGCCACTGTGGGCTGTTTTTAGTCTCTTATATGAACCCTGACAGGTAACTAATGGCCAATTAAAGGAGAAATAAGAAAGCAGACACCACTCCAGCTCGATGGCAGTCTAGCAGAGGAGGTAAACCTAACCTGGCAGGGCTGCAGGAGGCCTGGCTGGTTGGATAGTTGGTTGGTTGGCTGGTTGGTTGGTTTGAAACAGTTTCAATATGTAGCCCAGGCTGGCCTGAAACTCACTATGCGGCCCAGAGTGGCTTCAACCTTAGAGCAATCCTCTTGGCTCAGCCTCCTGAGAACTGAGATTACAAGAGTATGCCACCAGGCCTAAAGGAAGCAGTGTATCTTTTAAAACATATTGGATGGGCCATTCACTCTGTTTATGAAAGAATATTTATTTTCATGCTTTTTTTTTAAACCATTCAAATCAGTATCTAAGCTTATTCCCAGCCTAACTGATGGCTAGGTCTGCATGCTCTCTTGTTGTCTTGACTCAGCTTGTGCCTTGTTTGTGGCTGTGGATTAACAGTTGGTTGTATATTTCTCATCTTTTCTCAGTGTTGTGAGGCACAGGGATTGCTGATTTATTTATGTGCTTGTTTGTTTAATAAGACACATAAAAGTACAAGCTGTGGCTAGATAGATGACTTCATGCAAGCCTGACAACCTCAGTTCAAATCCCAGCTGGATCACTCAAAGGCTGGGTATGACTGAGCAAATGGTTGTAGCTCCTCCTGGAGAGACAGGAGGATGGCAGAGCATGGTTGCTGCCAGCCTAGCTCCAGGTTCGTTGAGAGACCGTGCCTCAAGGAAATGAAGTAGAGAATCATAGAGAACATACCTGATGTCCTCGCCTGACCCTCTCATGCGTACACAAAGGCACAAGGATCTGCACACACTTGCGCACACCTCTCTCCAGCTATAGCTCTCTCACACACACACACAAGAATCAGGGACAATTCAGAAAGGTTTATTTTTTTGATTTATTTTTAATCTATATATTCATTTTACATCCTGATCGTAGCTCCCTCCCTCCCCTCCTCCCAGTCCCACCCTCCCACCTTCTTCCTTCTATTACCCCCTCCTCCTTCTCAGAAAAAGGGAAGCCCCCCAACCCACCCCAGCACATCAAGTCACATCAGGACTGAGCTCATCCTCACCCACTGAGGCCAGGCAAGGCAGCCCCATTAGAAGGAAGTGATTGAAAAGCAGACAACAGAGTCCAAGTCATAGACAGCACCCGCTCAACTTACTAGGGAACCCACATGAAGATCAAGCTGCCCATCAGTCACATATGCGTAGGGGGCCTAGGTCCAGTCCATTTATGGTCCTTGGTTTGTGCTTCCATCTCTGGAAGGCCCCACAGGTCTAGTTGGGTTGACTCTGTTGGCCCTCTTGTCCCCTCCGGGGCCTTCTATCCTATATTTCATATATGTAAAATCAGATAAACTGTCCAACAGAAAATGCTCTCAATGATGCTAAGAATATAGTTTTCTGAAATATATTTGTCCAACAGAAATTTTGAAAGAAGGGAGAAACTACTATCTATACTAAAATCAGGGCCATGAAAAGTGCTTTGCTGTTAAGCGTATTTGTTATGCTGGTGAATAAAACTGAAGAGGATTTATTCATCTGTCAGACTGGGCTCATACAAGAGACTTTAAATGTAAAGAACTGAAGTTAGCCCTGTTCAAACTTTCAAAGCCAGCACTTAGAGTGACCTGGGAGTGTTAGTAAAAGCAGGCACATTTTTATCATCTCAGACCTGTCAGGGCTTTCAACTAAGTCACTTTTTAAACCCTGTCACCTTTAGACTTGTCCTGACTGGACTGTAGGCTAGCCTGCCTTCCTTTTTGCCGGTGAATCCTCGTAGCCTCAAAACTGCAGAGAATCTGAGGCTGAGCTCTAGGAAGCACAGCCTCTGCCTCGTGCATCCTGGCTCCCACACTAACCATGTAGAACACGTGTTAGCACAACTGTCTCTGGGCCCTGGAAAGCGTGTACATAAATGTGCTCAGACTTCACCATGTTACCCTGATCTCATGGCTACACTCTGGATGCGTGGACTGGGATGTCACCCAGAAATCTATAAACAGGCACAATTATTATGTGTCAGATTTTGTGTACATGGAGAGAGAGAAGGTTTTTCTGTGAGGCTGGACAGATGGCTCAGTGGCTAACAGCACTTGCTGCTCCTGCAGAGGACCTGAGTTCAGCTCCCAGCACCCACATCAAGTGCTTTACACTGCCTGCAACTCCAGTTCCAAGGGATCTGACTACCTCTTGTGGGCTTTATTGGCACCTGCACACACACAAACACACAAATGTAAAGTAACTTTAAATAACATTTTTCAGAAAACTTCTTCACACGCTTATCTTGAGATTTAAAGTTGCCAGTAACGTTCCAGCTTGGCTGTTCTACACTGTGTTCTCATCTGTGCCAACGTAGGCATGAACCAGGGGATTCCCGTGGGTCTCGATGTGCTAACTAACGAAGTACAGATAGTTTTAGTGTTTAGTATTCCTCTAGGACTGGCACCTTTTTTACATTGATTTCTTTTGTGTGTAAGAGAGTGAGTGTGTGTATGTGTGTGTGAGAGAGGAACAGTGTGTGTGTGTATGTATGTGTGTGTGTGTGTGTGTGTGTGTGTGTGTGTGTGTGTGTATACACTTAGGTAACAGCCTGCGTAGTGGGCAGAGGGCAGCTTGCAGAAGTCAGCTCTCTCCTTCTGCCATGGGGGTCCCAGGAATTGAACTCGGGTTGTTAGGCTTGGTAGCAAGTGCCTTTACCTGTTGAGCCATCTCTCTAGCCTTTGCCATGGCCCTTAAGGAAACCTTCTTTGTCCATGATCTACTCTCACTAAGTCATCAAAATATTATAATACTCCAGCCAGATTTCAAAAATACTAGGAATCTGTAAGCTACCCAACTTGAGAATTATACCCTGTCTCTCGGTTCCTCCCTCAGTGTGGAAGTTCTGGGTGGCACTGTGAGCCTTGCTCAGCACTCACATCTGTGAGGCAGGCACAGGGAACAAAGTGATGGTGGTGGATCAGTCTTTCTAGACATCTGATGATGTCACAGTCAGGAATCACGAGAGAGGTCGTGTTCAAGCCCAGCAAACTGGAAACTGCCTCCCGGAAGTCCACCAGCTGCAACAGCAAGCAGACACATGTTAGCTGGAAAAGAAAACACATCACTGTTGCCGGGTCAAAGGCAACAACAAGAGCAAAGAGGAAAACCCCAATCTGCATGAGGGAGGCAGATTACTCAGTCTAGCCTGGGTGACTAGGCCTGCCTGCTAAGTGACTTCCATAAATCCCTGCAGGTTCCCCAAGCTTCAGCAAGTTTATAATCTCCTCTGCGTCAAGGGGCCATCTGTGTGTTTGCTACTGAGTCAAGAACCCTAGGAAATCATCCATCAGACCCTGACCTCACTAAGTCTGTCCTGAAATCCTCCACAAGTGAAATGACAGCTGAGGACATGCTCTGGGGCTGTTGGTGTGAGCCTGTCAGTGAGTGATAACCGTTTCTGTGTGGGGGTGTCAAAGAGACAGAACGAGTTGATGAAAACAAGGCGGCTTCTCCGTCCTTCTTAAACCACCCTGCAAGGACTGCTGCTTCAATGCACGGTGCCATCACTGGCTGATCTGAGACTGCTGGATGCCCATCATGAAGTGGGGATGTAGAAGCCAGGGACAGTGGCTAGAATGGGGACTGTGTCACTTCACCTTCTCCAAAGGTGGTTTCTGTGGCCCTAGGCTAACACAGGAAAAACAAACTTCGCTAAATACCTTCCAGTGCAGAAAAGACGGGATCCAGTCTGCAGATGGAGTGCCATCAGAACACCATCCAAGCATGCCAGGCCCGTACTCATTTATCCCCACCTTCCTTACCATCAACGGTCCAGCATGGGAGATTTGCATATCCCACACCCAGAGCGAACACTGAAACCTCCTCCTCGGTGGGATGGCTCCACTGGCTCTGTGAGTTGTTGGGCTTGAATGAGATCATGAGGGTGGAGTCTCCCTATCACTGAGTCCCCAGAGCTTTTGCCATTTGAGGATTCCAGAAGACACCCTTTATAAACCTGAGACCCCATCTGCTGACACCTTGACTCTCCAGCCTGTAGATCTAAGGGAAATAACTGCCTTCCTATGAGCTGCCCCGATTCCCAAACTTCGTTAAGGCACCTCTATAGAATAAGATATCAGCCTAGTCTTCCGTCAGACTTTCCCGCCCTCTTGAATGCGGCCAACACTCACAATTCCTGGGATGTTTTCTTCCTGAGAACCACTTGCTCTTAGAATTTGGCTCTTCCCAGCTCTGCCTGACACATGAGCCAAAACAGAGTGGGGGAAAAAAATCCTAAAATCAGAGTCCATTCTCTGCCCTTTTCAGCTTCAGAAAGTGACACGCTAAGGCAGAAGAGGTCAGACTGCCCGGGACAGAGTTCTTTATGTTTGACCTGATGTGCTCAGGAGATAAAACTCTCCTCCTCGCAACCATCCAGCCAACTCGGACTTCCTTTATGGCTTACATCTGCGCTTGGTCAACCATGAAGTCTGGGTGCCACTGAGTGAGGTTGGAGGCTGTTTCCTGCAGCCGATCTCTGTGGGAGATAAAGCTTCTCTCTGGCTTCCAAGCCCTGCTTAACATTAAATGCGATGAGGCAATTATCAAACACAGTTTAAAACATCTCATCACCACCAGAAGCTGGGCCCAAACTGGCTTTCTATTGCCTTGATAAGAACATTAATTTTTTTTTCTTTCTTATAATCTATGCCATGCAAGTATGAACTGCTCTCCTTGGCTGAGAGACTCATGATGATTATTGGTGTGTCAAAAAGTCCTGAGGAAAATTCGACATACCTGCTGTTCCCTCCGCTCTGCTTCGTCCAGAGATTTCCTCATGGTATTCAGTTCGAAGACTGCCACCTCGATCATGGCCCTGGCCCTTTCCTTGTACGCCTTAGCCTCCTCCTCAGTACTATCCAGCTCTGACTTGACCGACATAAGCTTTTTCTCCGCTTGCTCCTTCATTTTCTCCAACTCGTCTCGGGATTTGTTTAAGTCTTCAATGGCTTTGGTCTGCTCCAAAGTTTTAATCTAAGAAGTCCAGAGACTGGCGGTCATTTCCCTTGTACTTCCTTAGGAGAACTGTATACAGAGAACTTGGAAGTCAGTGAGACTCACTTAACTTTTTTGTGAATAAAGAATTACTTCAGCCTGTAATCCCAGCACTCTGAGAAGCCATGGCAGGCAGATCTCTGTGAGTTTGAGGCCAGCCTGGTCTACAAAGCAAGTCCAGGACAGCCAAGACTACACAGAGAAACCCTGTCTCAAAAAAAAAAAAAGGATGTATTTCATACCAGGCAGCTACAAAGGCCTTGCAAGACAGCATAAGCTAGATGAGCATGACTTCAGTCATTATAGCTTATAAACGATACAGTACAGTCATCTTATTTGGGAAGTCAAGCCAATAAAATTGCAGACAGCATGGTTCTGGAGTGAGATCGCTAAGCTAAAGCCTGGGAGCAAGCTGGACGCTGCACACTGCCCAGTGTGTCCCTGTGCTTTGCAGATAAACAACAGCAGTGGCAGAATGCCAGGTCTGCTAATGGTGTCACACGGGAGCCTCTCAGCAAGTCTCCCTCATTGCTGTGAGGGGGCTCTCCATCAATGGTCACTCAGAAGACTCTCTAGACATGAGCTATGAAAATGCAATGAAAAATGTCACCACATCCTATGCTGACAAAGGGCAAAGATGGTCCCAGCTGGAGACACACCCCAGGACTTTAAAGCCCTGACAGAGCTCCTGGGAAAACAAGTGCGTTGTCCCTATGAGTTTATTTAAGATCACACCATAGCTGCTTACAAAAGAACTGAAGCAAACCAACTACTGTGTCCAGCACAGATCCAGGGACAGACCTGACGGGGCAAGTGAGGGAATGAAGACAGACAGACAGACAAGCTGGGATCAGGTGGTCTATTCTATCTGCTGGAGAAACCACGGTTCCCCAGAAGCTAAGCATTCTCATTCTATAGACTGAACAGAGAAGCAGGCCTAGTGTATATAGCTGGACAAGAAGGTGGGTTATTTCATACAGATAAATAGGCAGGAGTATGGTATACAACCGGATCAAAGAGACAGGTTTGGCTAATCTTGGCAGGAGCAATCTCTGTTGAAGAGCTGTTCAGGCTGTAAAAATCAAGAGAAAGTGAGCTGTGGTGGGCATTTTCCACACACAGCCAACAGCCACACTCGGACCAAAGGGAGGCTTTGCCATTCTTCCACGGCTCCGAAACTCTGGAGTCTGTAGATGTGAACCACAATATGGATGGACTACGAACATCTTGAGCAAAGTAAGCTAGGCACAGAGGAATTTTGATAAAATCCTACCCACCTGAGAAACGTGGAACATTCTAACTCATATGAAGGCAACAAGGAAGTTAGCAGGGGCTGGCAAAAGGACAAAATGGGAGTCATCGTGTGGCAGGCACAGGTTTTCAGTTCGGGGCAATGAAAAAGTGCTAGGAATGAGCGGCAGTGAAGCTTTTACAGCCCTCTGGATTCACTCAGCGCTGCGGTACACACCCAGGAACAGCTCAGGAGTCTATGACATGTTCTTTCATGGCAATAGTAAGGAATCTGAAATAGTTTTGTAACTTCAAATACTTTTAAATGACCATTAAAAATAAATGCAAGCCAGGCATGGCGGCTGTGATGGCTGGGGGGTTGACTTGACACAACAGAGACTCACCTAGGAAAAGAATGTCAATGGAGAATTACCTAAAATCAAATTGCCCTGTGAGTACATGTACACAGGAATATCTAGGTTGCCTTAAGTGAGGCGGAAAGGCCCAGCCCAGTATGGGAGGTACTGTGATCTAGGCAAAAAACGCTAAGTGTGTAAGGGTAGAGCAATAGAGCTAGCTGAACATGAGCAAGCAAGTAAGAAAACATGCATTCATTTCATTCCTCTCTGCTGTTGACGGCAGATATGATAGAACTAGATGCTTCAGACTCAGGCCGCTGTGACATCATTGCAATGATGGACTGTAACTTGGAATTGTGAGTTAAATTTAACCCTTTATCCTCTAAGTTGCTTTTAGTTAGGACATTTTATCACAGCAACAAATATGAAATCAGGACAGTGATGCATACTTTTAATCCCAGCATTTGAGAACTGGATGTAGTAAGATAAGGAATTCAGGGCCAGCCTTGTCCACACAGTGAGTTCAGGTCAGTCTGGACTGCAAAAGAGCTTAGCTCAAAAAGAAATCCAAGTAAATAAGTACAAACAAGCTACAATAACTACTATAGTAGTTGTAGTTACAAAAAAAAATAAGATGATTACAAAAGCTAGCAGGAAATTAGAGAGTCAGAACACTCACATACTGCTGGATGGAATACAAGATGGTTCAACTAGTACAGAAGGCAGTTTGAAATGCTGAGTCCATGACCCATCAAGAGGAGTGAAACCACACAGCCACACAAGGAGTTGTAGACAACGTTCATAGAAGCATTACTCAGAGTGATGACCCGATGTCCACCGAAATGTCCATCAGCTGAAAGATGGGAAAAGCGCAGCACAGCCACTCAAAGAGCAACAAACAAGAACGAAGGACGACGACATGCTATAGCATGCATGGACACTAAAAACATCGTACCAAAAGAATGAAGCCAACTGCCCGAAAACCACATAAATACCTTCTCACGAAAGGAAAAGGTAAGATGTGAGGCTAGTGGGAAGAAAGAATAGGGCATTATAACTTAAAGTCATAGATGCAGGGTTTCTTTGAGTATGCTAAAAATATTTTGCAATCAGGTACTGTCTGGATAAGTCTGTAAATATAATTATAAAAAACACAGAAATGCATATTCTGAGACAGTGGCACTGTTTTGGAAGGTCCTAGACTTTAAGTGATGCAAGAAACTGCTCAGTGTGCTGTTCAAAGTTAAACATCTTCCTCAGCTCCCTCTTCAGTGTCTGCTCTGTGTCCACCGTGAGGTGAAGAAGTTCCTTGGCAAGTCTTCCCCAAGCTCCCAGCAGCACAGGGTTCTACAGATGCGCACAGAGCCAAGTAACTGCCAACTAAACCTCTGAAGCCATGAGCAAAAGCTTCTCCCCTTCTGTAAGCTGCTTCCATCAGGCATTCTAGCTCAGAGACGAGGAAGCTGATACCTGAGGTGAAGAGGTGACTGTCAGGAAGGCCTAAATTGATCTGCAGATCAGAATGCTGACTGAAAGTGAAGAGAGCCATTAATAAATTTGGACCACGGGTGGAGGTTGCAGTCAGGGGCTGGTGTATTCTTGGGTGCTAGCTTTAGGATGCATCTTCACTGTGACTGGGCAGCTAGTGGGTGGCATGAGGTGGCCTGACCTGAGGTCCTCCGTATCTGATCAGAAAACAAGAGGAAGGCTAGAAACTATTCTAAGACGTCTGGAGGAAACATGATTTGAGGTACACATGAAAGTCTAGCCTGACAATCAGACTAACCCTGCTGTCTAGATCACGGGAGTCTGCATCAAGTGCCTGCTGCTACACTCATAAAGTCAAAACCGGTGTCACAGCCTTCCAAAAGCCAGCTGCTTTTGCTGTGGTCTGGATGCCTGTGCCGACAAACTTCCTATACCTTCACCCCCAAAGCGATACTGTGATGGAGTGGGGCCTTTAAGAGGTAAACAGGCTGCGGTTCAAGAGAAATAGATACCTGGGGTGGTTTCAATAAGGGTGGCCCCATGGGCTCGTATATTTCAATGTTTAGTCACCAGGGCATGAAAGTCTTAGATAGGATTGGAAGGATTAGGAGGTGTGGCCTTGTTGAGGCGTATCACTAAAGGTAAGCTCTGAGGTTTCAAAAGCTCAGTCAGGTCCAGGTTCTCTCTCTCTGCCTGTAGATGCGTATGTAAAGATCTCAGAAACTGCTCCCGCAGCTGTCTGCCGCCATGCTCCCCACCATGATGATAGTGACACTGTCTCTGAAACTGTAAGCAAGCCCCCAATTAAGTGCTTTGTTGTTTAAGAATCGCCTTCATCATGGTGCCTCTTCACCTCAGTAGAACAGTAACGAAGATGCCCTCATAGCAAACAGAAACAAGGCCCTGTGTGCCCTGCTAAACAGGTGGCGCTTTCCTGACCCGTGACACCATGTGAGGACACAGCCAAGAGGAGTCTTCTAAGAAGCAGGAAGCAAGACTGTGCAGACATCAGATCTGCTGGCACCTTGACCTTGGGCCTCCCAGCCTCTAGGACTCTGAGACCCACATTGCTATTGTTTATAAGCCACCCAGTTTGTGCATACTGTTATGACACTCAAAGTCTGATATTTTTCTGGAGAGCAAGAGGCCAATGGCAGGCAGGCTTGACCTCAGAGCCAGTGAACCAGTTCTGCGGGGTGAGACCAAACTGTCTCGGGGCTCCAAGCGCAGCTGTGAACCAGTCTGAAAGTCACAAGAACACCGTCTGTGGCTCTTGGAATATTCAGAAAATAAAACTCCAGCCACTAGGGTGAGGGCAGCACAGAAAATGGGATAAGGGAAACGGCGGCACAGGTATTTAAGATGGGAACGCACAGATCTGCAGGACTGTGGTAAGGACTCATAGATCCCATATTGTTAGAGTCACGTTCAGAAACTGATCGTTGGTCAAATCCAGTGTGTCTCAATGGTAATTCCTGAGTGTGCTGACTCCACTGTAGAGAGAATGTCTTCATTCTTAAGAAAAAAAAAAACTTGGGGAATTCCTGAGGTGTGGCCCATTAGAGTTACAAAAAGTCCCTTCCCCTGATTCAGCTTTCCATTCAGATTGAGAAAACACGCTAAAATGTCTACCAGAGGTGCCAGGTCACAGCTTAGAGACTAGAAGTGAGAGGTAGACAGTCCTGAGGAGAAGAAAGAGGAGCAGACTCTGAATAACCACAGGCTTTATCAACCCAGAGATGCCATGTCCCTGTAGAGCTTAGGGGACAGCCAGAGAATGCAGAAACGACAGACACATGGGCCAGCGTGCACATGGAGTGGTCTGGACTCTCTAATGGAGAAGCCGCAGCACCCGGAAGCTCAGCATGATTATTACATAGAGTTGAAGAGAGAGGTGAGGCTGTTTCATACAGTGGGCCTGGGCTGTCACAATCAGATAAACAGGGTGTGGTTATTACACACCACTGAGTAAGGAGGCAGATGCAGAGGTAACCTCAGCAGGAGCGGGCTCTGTAGGGGAGCACTCTTCAGGCATAAACATCCAGGGAGAGAAAGCTACAGTGGACATCTTCTGTGCTGTCAAAACATTTGCACTCTGACCACAGAAAGGCTCTCCCATCTTTCCCAGCTTCACCAGGGAAGGCTTTACCACTGCCGTGGGCGGAGGCTTTAGGGTCCTTAAGATGGCTGTGTTCATGTCAACCACACATTCACTCAGGACGTCACTGGTTCCCTGCGCTGAGGCCTGTTTGGATTATTGTCAGGAGACAGGAGGCAAGGAAGGAAGTGCCAAGTAGAGACACCAGGACAGAACTGGGGGCCAGCAGGAATGAGGGGAGAATCTAAAGTCAACCCAAGCAGATTCCTGGGAGTGGGGCAGAACTATGTTGGTTTTTTAATCCCCCTGAGGGAACTTCTCAGACCAGCCCAGGGTTCAGCAAGCAAGCAAATGGCCTCTAATTTTCCTCAAGCTGGACAGAACTGGCCATTAACAAGATTGATGTACCATGGAGAGTCCAGCCAGGCCAGGAAAGGTTCCCGGGGTGCCGCCCGGGGTAAGCACTGTGTGCCATCACTGTGCAATCCGGGGAGCAATGCTCTCTCATACAAAGGCTCAAAGGCCTGGAGGGAAGAGGTCATTAAATCTGAAGGCTTAAGCGTTGGCTGACCCTAGCTGGGATCCAAGTCTCCAGCTGCAGTTGTTAAAGAGAGTGCACTAAAAACCCCTGACAGGCACCAAACAGAGCGCGTGGGTCTCTGCATGAAATGGGGCAGCCAGCCTCAACCTTCCTAAGGTGGCAGCCCTTTCATACAGTGCCTCACAGTGTGATGACTCCAACCAGAACATTATTTCTGCTGCTACTTCCTAACTGGAACTTTGCTACTGTTACGAATCGTAGTATAAATATCTGTGTTTTCCTATGGTGTTAGGCGAGGAGGCTTGTCTCTGCCTGGGGGTCCTGATTCACCGGTTGAGAACCGCTGTTCTGGAGTCTTACCGGCCAGAATAGTGTGTTCACAGGAAGATGCTCAGCTCTGAGGTCCCTCCTCCCTCCTTGTCCACTGCAGCCCCACATTCTGGGAGCTGGCAGCACCGTGAGCCTCACCCCAAGAAGCAAGCACTCTACCTTCACAGCCCTGTGCACTGTGCACAGTGAAAAAAGCAAGCCAGGAGGCCTGGGCCACTGCAGAACAGCGCTGACCTCAGGGAAGAGGAGCAAGGGCTATGCTCCGCCTCCCTGAGGGTGGAGCGTGCTGGGAGCAGCTTCCGTGGGGGAATATAGAGGAAGTCAGAAAGAGAAAAAACAGCTTTGCCTGTGGCTGAAGGCTACTGTCTGCTCTAGTGTTTTCTTGGAAGACCACAGAGAAGACACTCTCCCCTGGGTTTTGGAGCTGATTTGGAGCCAAAGCTCCTACCAGGGTTGGGCCACATGCTACAGCCTGACAGCTAGAGCTCTCCACCAGCTAGCTAATCTTTCTTCCTTTCTCACTAGCCAGAATTAAGACCTATTCCACAGGCTGAACTCTTTCAAACAAAGTCAAGAGACTCAGTTCTGACCAGTGGAGACAATGAGCTGCTGAATCATTCCCAGAAAGTAGGCAGCAGGGTGTCTATCAGGCCTTCCTCCCGGCTGGTCCCAAGAATGAGGCTGGAACCCCCAACAATTGCGTAACCGCTGCCCAGTTAGCTCTGGGGAAGAAAGAGGATGAAAGCATTGGCTAGGCTGCTCAAGTTGAAATCAGAATATACCAGGCTTCTGATGACCATTGAACGGTGCTTCTAAATTTGGCATGTCTACTCCCTTACACACATATAAACATATAAACATACACACACATAGTGCTGAGGATTTCCCCTGAGGGCCAAGCACACTCCCTGATTCCTGGTTCTTTTCCGTGAAAAAGTAACATCCTTCCTGTGACAGCTACCAACATTATGGGGAGTGTCTATACATTCCACAGAACTCCATATTCCTTTGCTGGGGCAAGCCGTGAACTGTCTGGCTAGGGAGGAGTTACACAAAACCTCTTCCACCTCCTCTAGAATTTTGCCACAAGACTTCCGTTTATAAGGTGATATTTGTGTCCGACAGTAATACTACTTTAATAATAGCAGGTCAGTGAGAAAAGAACAATGGCAGGGTCTATGCATAAATCATACGCCCATGCAAACTGAAGGCCAAATTATATCACCTGTGCACACTAGGGTTTCACACTAGGAAAATGAAACATGGTAGAACACACTCCATCATTCGGGGAAAAGCCACAGGCAGGACAAACTCGTAAATGGCACCACACATTCTTGTTTATGGTGATCTTAATGAAATTACATCGTCAGTCTTAATGTCATTAATTTTCTAGTATGAGTTTTAATCTTTTGATTTCTAAATTGATTTTGGTTTCTTATCAGTAAAAAAGTAATGCAATTAACAAATCTATGTAGTCTTAAGTGTCTTCAGTAAGAACTATCATAAATTATTCTAAATTTAACACAAGCAGGAAAATCTATGCAAAAATAGCTTGGTCTTTCAAAAATATTTCTATAATACTTAGCATTGTATGCCAAGATAATTTTTAAGATTATTTTTGAAGATAATTTTTATATGTAATATTTTATTTTTATTAATTACAGTTTATTCCCTTTGTATCTCCTCTGTAGTTCCCTCCCTCTTTCTATTCCAATCCCACCCTCCGTCCCTCTTCTCCACTCATGGCCCTCCCCCAGTCCACTGAGAGGGGAGTCCTCCTCCCCTTCCATCTGATCCTAGTCTGTTAGGTCTCATCAGGAATGGCTGTATTGCTTTCCCCTGTGGCCTGCTAAGGCTGCTCCCCTGTCAGGAGGAGGTGAACAAGGAGCAGGCCAATCAGTTCGTGTCAGAGACAGTCCCTGTTCCCATTACTACTTGAACACTGAGCTGCCATGAACTATGAAGATAATTTTTGAAGAGTTCATCTGGAAAGGGTTTTGTTTCTTCTTGGTCTAGAACTAAAGGGAACTCTTAATACATGAGTCTTACAAAGCAATATTAAGATCACCTGGAGCCATGGTTTTCAGACTTTAGTTTTCAACAGACACAGGAATATACATGAAAGTTGGAACACAAATGTTCATAGCAGCTGTATTGGTAGTAGCCCTGAAGTAACACCTGGAATGTCCATTAGACGCCAAGTGGACAAGCAGAAGGTAGTCCATCCATGTAATGGACGGTTATTCACCCATCAAAAGGAATTACAGTGGTTAGGGTTACATGTCAACTTAATTTGGACATAATGTCTAGATATTTGGTAAATGGTGTTTAGATGTCTCCTGGAGGGTGTTTGCAGGTGAGATTAAAAATAGGTTATTTTTGTTTGTTTGTTTGTTTTTGTTTTAGTTTGCAGAGAAAGACTCCCACTACGAAGCCCAGGATTTCCCCAAATGCATAATCTGCCCCCCCCAGGCCTCTGAGACACTACGATTATAATTGAGACTCCAAACCTATTTCAGAGCATATTGTGCTAGCTAATGTGGGTAGATGTCTTCCAACCAAATGATGTCCCAAGTACAGGCTAAATAAATAAACAAAGGAATGAATGAATGAAATAAACCTCCCCTGAACAAAAGGAAATGGCTAGGCAAAAACCCACAACTAAAGTATGCCAGTCATGAACTACAATAGTACCTGTCTATCTCCCCTGATGTGGACTTTTCTACAGTATGTTTTTGTACTGGCCAGTTTTACGTCAACTTGACACAAGCTAGGGTCATCAGAGAGGATGAAGCTTCAATTAAGAAACACTTTCACAAGATTAGCTGTAGGCAAGCCTGTGGGGCATTCTCTTAATTGGTGATTGATAGAAGAGGACCCAGAATACTTTGGGTGGTGCCATCCCTGGGCTGGTGGTCCTGGGTGCCATAAGAAAACAGGCAGAGCAAACCAGGAGGACCAAGCCAGGAAGCAGCAGCCCTCCTGGCCTCTGCATCAGCTCCTGCCTCCAGCTTCCTGTCCCGACTTCCTTTGATGATAACTATACACCAAATAAAGCCTTTCCTCCCCAACTTGCCTCTGGTCATCCTGTTTCATTAGAGAAATAGTAACCCAAACTAAGACAGCACTCTAATTCCCAGTAAATAGAGTGTCTAATTTCTTGTTTCCTCCTAAACAAATTCCTGTCTAACAAAGACTTCTGTTACTGGCCCGCAGGAAATGAAGATATTCTAAAGAGAGATACTTGTGTCTCTTGATCTGACTATCAGACTGCCGGAAAAACGGACCCCAAAGAAATGGGAATTCCCTCAGGAATTTCACACAGAGAGAAGGAAAAGGCCCCAGATACTTGTCAGACCACTTCCAGGATGAGACTTTTACACACTGAGCCATCTCGACAGCCCCACCATTTTTTTCTGTTTTATCTGAGGCGGGGCTTTGAACTATAACCAAGAGTGGCTTTGGACTCCTGATCTGCCTGCTTTTACCTCACAAGTGCTGGGATCATGGGCGCGCACAGCCACGCCAGTCGTTTATGTACACTTTGAGGTGCATGGGCAGAAAGTCACAGAGAAGGAGCCACACACTTGCCTTGAGGTCACTGGTGTCGGCCAGTTTGGCTTTGAGCTCAGTGTTGTGCTCCCGACAAGCACTCAGCTCCTTCTGCATCCTCTCCACTTTCTTTTCCAGCTTCCTGACGGCGAGATGGGCTTCATCCTTTTCCACTGCCAAGGCTGAGCGTGCCTGTTTCTCCTGCTGCAGCTGGGCAATTTTCTGCCGAAGGAGGTTCATATGTACTTCTTTGCTCTCCAGTCTTTCTTTCTGAGTCTTTAGCTGGTTTGATACAAGCGGATTAAAAAAAATAATAATAATTGAACAGTCAGTAAATATAAATGAATTACTCAGATAATGTCGATTTTTATCTGTACTTCAATGAGACTCATTTGCAAAGCATCAAAAAAAGGTCACTCGGTTCCTCTCCCTGATTGAATTTTTTTATTCATATTTTTTCCAAGAATTAATTCTGTAGCTACAAAGTATGGGACAAAAGAGCCCCAGAAAATGTGAAAAGAAGTCAGTTCTCCACAGCTGCCTCATCCAATATTCTGTGCCTCATAATAAAAATGTAAAATTACTTTTAAGATGAATAAAATAGGCTTATCAAGAACAGAATAAGTAGAATATAATAAGACACAGACAAAATCCTCTCCAAGACTCAGTGGCCATGATCCCTGTACCAATGTTTTCTAAAACCCACATCATAGTGAAAACCTGCCCTAGATAATCTGAGCCCTCTTAGAACTTGGCTGAGTAGCTCCCGGGATGAAGGTTGAGATAGTCTTACAGAAGGAGACTTCTTAGGAAGCTTTGTTTGCAAACTTCTCGACTCTCACAGACAGACCTCCTGAGGATTTCACTTCTTTGAACCCTTTGTGTCATGCCCAGGCCCATCAGCGCCTCCAACCAAGCAGGGAGGAAGGTCTTGCTGATCAAGTTGATGAAGGGAATTAGACTGGTTTGCAGAAAATGGCTACTTGGGGAAAGAGTCGCCTGGGCCCTGCCTATCACTTGGCTGGGCAGATACAAAATCCAGGCAGCTCCGTCACTGGTCACAAACACTGGGCGGGGCTATTAAGAACTGTCGAGTTATCCCCTAAGTGTTACAAGGTGAAAGGACTCAGCAAAACTACTTTGCTTTTCTTGCCTATCTATGACAGGCAAGAAGTCCTGTCCACATCTGGGCCACGCCTTAAAAAAAAAAAAAAACTTTCTGATATTTCTATAGCCAAATTTCTTTTAACATTTTTGAATAATAGTCTTAATTATGCTTTGAAATTTTCACGTATGTGTACAGTAATTCTGCTCTTATTGAAACTGCAGTCTGCCCACCTCACTGACCTCTCTCCTACTCACCCTCTCCTTCAGTGGAGGACCATTGATCTAACTCAGCCTGCCCCCAACTCCCCTTTTGAACCACTTTTTGTCCAATAGCTCTCCGATGCAAATGTCTATTGATAAATTCTGTGCTCTGGTAGTTTTAATGATGATGTAATCCTTAAGAATGGATAGCCTTGGGTATTAAGATAGAAAATCAATTCTCTGAGAAGAAGTGAAGACAGAATTGTGGCTCAATTCGACATACCTGATGGTAATCAGATTTTCTGTTTTCTCTTTTTAAAAAAAAAAAAAAAAAAAAAAAGATTCCTTCAGACACAGTGAACTGGGACAGAGATTAAGTGAGAACAAAGTTTATTCTGTGAGACAGGAGTTCAAATTTTCCACTTATTAAAAGTAGCTCTCCTGTGGTGCCTATGTCATTCCTGTCTTATGAAGAAACAGAGAAGTGTGTGCTTAGCCTCAGGATATATGGTCTGGCAGAGTCCACGGACCCAGCTGTGACTTATACAACCTCTACACAGAGTGTTTCTCCTAAGAAGTACTACGAGGACACATCTGTTTCCTTCTTTCTTCCTCTGATGCTGACAACTATATAACTAATAATTATGCTTCGGCCCTTCTATTTGTTCATTCATTCCTTTGCTCCAAACCATTTCTAACTCTGCCTTCAATTGGATGCAAAGCGAGCCCTTCCCCCTGTGTTCTCTAGCTCAAAAGAACTAGTACACCGCAGAATTGCTCGCTGCTCCTGGCTACCCTCCTCGCTCAGAGGAGCAGAAACCATGGGGTTCAATGGCTGTGTCTGCAAGTCTCTGTTGCAACCCGGTTTGACCACGAGAATTGTGGCCATGGTACAAACATAACGTCAGCTAGCATCTTCCAGAATCTTCTTTACAAGACATCACTTGCGTCTTCGGCTCCCCTTCTCTTCCCCTCCCCCAACCTTCTGCGTGAACCACAGACGAATGGTTCTTGTTACTATTTTGGACCATGGAAATAAACACCACCCCAGGGGTGGGCAACTCAGAGGCTGAGGGGGCCTGGTGATTGATAGGTCCACCTCAGCCTGTGGACTGGAGACCCAGGGGCCGAGGGGGCCTGATAGGTCCACCTCAGCCTGGAGACTGGAGACTCAGGGGCCGAGGGAGTATGATAGGTCCACCTCAGACTGAGGGAACCTGGTGATAGGTCCACCTCAGCCTGTGTACCGGAGACTCAGCTTCTAAAGCCAGACTCTTATAACACGCTTCCTCAACACACCGCTGCTCGGCGGGAGGAAGCCATTTTAACACTTGGGCTCTCCAGAAGTTTCTCTGCTCAGTACTACAAGGTGCGGTGCCGCTGACCTTTCTCTGTAAGTTGCGAGCAATGGTCTTGTTTTCAATGACAGCACTGGATTCGAGGCGGACCAACTGCTCTATTCGAGCTAAAAGTACATCCAGACGCATGTCAAAGCCAAGTTCAGCAACCATGTGGCCCAATTTCATTTTCTCTGAAAGCTGGTCCAGAAACTTCAGATACTAAACCCAGAAACAAAAATGAAAATAGGGCATGGGAGTTAAATTGTAGTCTCACTGAATTCTTCTCGTTATCACAAGCTTAAAGCTGCTTCTCTTTAAGGCCATCCCAGAGCCTGGATTTTGACCCCGAGATTTGGTAGTGAATGTTTGAACCACTTTACCAATCTCTGCCATCTTCCTGTCCAAACACCCTAGGCTTTCCTGGCCCATAACTTTGATGTCAGCTTAATATCAAACACACTTCTTGGCCCTGCCGTATGGCAAATGAGCTATGCCCCTAATTCTACCCTGGTCTCTCTTTGCATTTCTTGGCAAAAGGCCACAGCAACCTTGTCCCTCCGAGACTGTCCCAGCATTTAACAGTCACTCCAAAACCAAAGCCCAACATACAAAAACACAAAAGCTGAACAACAGTTAACTTTGTTCATTAAAATGCTTTAACGGGGTTGGAGAGATGGCTCGGTTGGTAAGGGGTTTGCAGTGCAAAGCATGTGGATCTGAGTGTGAGCCCCAAAACACACATGTTTAAAACATCCAGACACTGAATGTGTTTGAAATTCCAGCATAGGGAGGCAGAGACAGCTGTATGTCTTGGGGCTCACTGGCCAGCCAATGTAGCCAAATTAGTAAGCTTCATGTTTATTGAGAGGCCCTATCTCAAAAATAAGGCCAAGAGCAACTGAGAAAGTTCCAACCTTTGGCCTACTCACAAACACTGGTGCACCCACACGCAGGGACAGCGAGCTTTAGGGAATGCTCTGTAAAGGAGCCACTACAACACAGCTGGGTGAGCAACACTCTAAAGCAGGACTGGATAAAAGAAGTCATGATGTGCATTCTTTTAAATAGGTGACTTATTGTTCTGTGTGGTTTTGCCCTCATGTATGTATGTATGTACACCACGTGTGTGCAGTGCCTGAGGTGTCGTAGAGAGCGCCAGATCCACTACAGCTTGACCGACAGACATTGGTGAGCCGCCACGTGGGTGGGAGCTGACCAGGCCCTCAACGGAGCAGTGAGAGCGTGAACCCTTGAACCTCTCTAGCCCCCACAGTTCATACTTTAACAGACTAAACTTCCACAAAGCTTAACGGCCTTCCTTCACTTGGCTGCTATTGTTTATCTGAGCATGCTCAGACACAGAAATGCTCAGCAAGGGCCAGATGACTGCATCGATCCATTAATGAACTCGTTCTACGGTAACTGCAGGATTTGCAGTCTAGCTCTGATACCTCCTTCTCACTTCAGTAACTTCTCAGCATCCAGCACTCTCAGGCAATTAGATGTTGAAATGAGTATAATTTCCTGCCATTTAAGTATATCAGCTTAAAGCCTGGAACTATCTATATTTTAGAACCAGGATGAAATGATCTGTAAGTGTGTATTTTTTCAATTTTGTTAAGTAGCATACAGATAAATAGAATGTAATCATCTGTATAGGCTACAGTAACTACCAATAGCATCATTCACTATGCTTTGACACCACAGACAACTATGTTGTCACACCGTCAGCTCTTCTTGCCCTAGCCACTCTGCCTTTGGGATTCTATTCTATTTCTAATCTGCACTTGAGCAGAACCTCGCTGCCACTGACTATATTTTAAGTGGAGGAAGAAGACTTATACCCATAGATCAGCAGGATTGATATAGAGAAAGTGGCCATCCTACCAAAAGAGCCAATACAATCCCCATCGGAATTCCAACACAGTTCCTCACAGAAACTGAAAGGATAGTTTTCAATATGGAAACACACACACACACAAAACACGCACACACATACAGAAGATAGCTAAAAACAATCTGGATAACTAAAGAGCTTCTAGAGGTATCACCATCCTGATCTCAAATTGTACTACAGAGCTGTGGGAATAAAAACCGCATGGTACTGGCATAGAAACAGAACACTGACCAATGGAGTTAAATTGAAGACCCAGAAGTGAGTCCATATAGCTACGGACACCTGACTTTTAACAAAGAAGCCGGAAATATACACTGGGTAAAAGACAGCATCTGTAACAAATGACGCTGATCAAACCACATGGATGCGTGTAGAATAATGCAAATAAACCCATACTTATCACCTTGCACAAAACTCTACTCCTCAAGGACCTCAATACAACACCAGGTACCCTGAACCCGATAAGAAAGTGGAGAATTGTATTGAACTCATCAGCACAGGAGGACTTTCTGAACAGACCACTGATAGCACAGGCACTAAGAACAATTGATAAATGAGACCCCATGAAACTGAAAAGCTTCTGAACAGCATTAAGATAAATTGGCAGCCCATTGAATGGGAAAAGATCTTTACCAACTACATATCTGATAAAGGCTTATTACATAAAATTTAAAAGTCTTTTCCTACTTCTTTGTGTGGCCCAATTACTCTGCAGGTCACCTCTCCAACATGCAAAAAGGGATTCAGTTGGGACCAAACCAAGGCCCCACAGAGTAAGTGCCTCTTTCAAGGACTTTAGCAGGCCCATGGAATCACGGTGGAGGAGCTGGAAGAAGGGCTCAGCAGGTGGGAGTAGGCTCTGCTCCTGCAGAGGACCCAAGTTCGTTTCCCAGCACCCATCAAGTGACTCACACCTACTCTAACTCCAGCGCCAGGTGATCAAGTGCCCTCTGCTGGCCTCCTCCGGCACCTACACTCATGTGCACAGACCCACACTCATCTATATAATTAAAAGCAAAACAAATATATATATTTTAAGATTACAGTTGATGAAAGCCTTTTTATTCCTTTTTTTTTTTTTTCTAATTTTTTGGGGGATTGAAGTAGGCTATCACATTACGATGGTTTTGAACTCACTATATAGCCCAGGCTAGTCTCGATCCACACTGCTAGCTTAAAAATCTTTAACTTTACAAAAATAAAGGGTTACTGTGTGTTTTATTCATTGAATCATGGGTTAGCATGAGCCAGAGAACACATATTCTCCTCTGCATTGTAGCAGCCTAGATTATATTTAGCACTTAATCTCTATGCAACTTCACTTTCAATTTTACACAAACTTGCCCTCAGTACTTGCCTCTGTGGGAAACTCACTGTGGACATAATTAGCTTATGTAATTTGCTTTCTTAACTAAGACACTTCGGCATAATTTCAATTAAGACTAACGATACATTTACATGAAAAGAAGAGAAGAAAAATCAACCTACACAAAGATGTGTCCTAGTGGTTCACGCCTGTAATTCTAGCACCTAGGAGGGAGAGAAGAGAATTGGCCCACGTTCAGGGCTAGCCTGTACTAAAGTGTGAGTTCCAGGGCCAGCCTGAGATATAAAGTTCGGGACCAATGTAAGCTACAGAGTGAGGCCCTATCCTTGTCAGAAGAAGAGGAGAGGAGGAAGAGGAGGAGGTAGAGGAGGAGGAAGAGAGAAGATCATGTCCCCACATATGGAAGAAAGCAGCTGTCACTCCTGGCTCCAGGCTCCTGCCACACTCCACACCACCTCCAGGACAGCACTGGGTGTAACAGTCATGCCCCAGTCTGCCTGACGCCTGTGGACTGGCTTCACAGAGACCTTTTAGGCATCTCTGCATATCTGACCCTCATTGTAGCCATGCACATCCTCAATTTATTTTTTTCTCTTTTTGTTTTTGTTTGCTTGTTGTTCTTGTTGTTGTTTTATGATAGAGTTTCTTTGTGTAACCCTGGCTGTCCTTGAACTCACTTTGTAGTCCAGGCTGGCCCTGAAGTCAGAGATTTGCCTGCGTCTGCATGCTGAGTGCTGGGATTAAAGGTGTGTACAGCCACTGCTGGGCTCCCCAAATTTTTCTAAGTACAGAAGAATGAAAAGGACTGAGCCCCAGCCTCCAGAGTATACTTTTCTTAACCAAAGACTATTTTTCATGACAAATTTTGTCCCTATATTCTTGATCCTATGTGCCTCCTTGTCTGTCCCTGCCCTCTCTCCCGTGGACTCTCCCAGCTCACAAGCTCTCATGTCTCTACCATTAACAACAAAACCTTTCTCTGACACTGCTTTCCACATTCTTCTCATGACTCTGTACCCCTCTCCTATTCATACTCAACACAAAGCAAGAGAGCTCACGCACCCAGCATTCCTTGAAACTGCCCTCAAGTCGTGAAGCCCTGCCCACGCTTAGGTGAACCATTCTCTTCAGGTCTCCCTCTAGCCTATCGGTACTATTCCTTCTGAGTAGGCACCATCCTGCCGTGACAGCTCAGCGTCACCCTGGCATGTATTGTTCAACATGGGATCTGGGTTCTGGAACCGCAGGACTAGACAGTGCTGTTGCTGTGTGAACATCACGAAGTGTTTCAACACCCCCCAATGGGTTGATCTTTTTTCAACTTCTGAGGTGCTGAGGATGTGGCCTCGGGCTTTGTGCACAGCAAGCACGTGCTCTGCCTCTGTGCAACATGGTCATACAGGACCGCCGCCACACGTGCAGCCCGCTGACAGAAACAGCACTGAGCAGCAAACGACAGCACCGTGACACTCTCCGTCATTAATTAAGCTTTATAGCCCGGAGAAGAAAAAGAACCTTTAGACCTAGGAGACCTTCACACCTATCTTATCTTTATCATAGGCCCAGTAAGAGGGCCACATTCCACCATGATGACCCCCTCTGCATTCCGTGAATATAACATCTACAAGGCTTCACGCCTTTGTTTGAAGTGTTTCTCCCCTATGGCAGCTGCCTCTTCCTCCACTAGAGTCCTACACTGAACTATCTCCTCTCTTGTAAAATCTTCTCGTTATCCAGAAATACATGGTGACTGTAATATTTAAACATTCCTGTCTCCCTATTAAACACCGAGCCTTTAATAATAAAAACTATGCATCACTCATACTTCAGCTACTCCAAATCTTCCACTACTTCAGATGGACATACAATAAATGCATACTAGGTTTAAACTGGATTGACAGTCAAGGAAAGCCTAAACAACAGAAGAGACATATTATTCCTTGGGATTGGCTTGTAACTCAAGACATGATCAATCTAAACACTGCCAAGTTTATAACCTTCTCAGGTACAGTTTAGCCCATGGCATATGCTTGCACCATGAACATGCCAGCCCATTATTACTTTTTGCTTCTCAAGACTCAAGTTGTCTCTTGAGATGTCTCCAGAGAGCAGCTCTCCCTCCAGGTGACTCAGCTGATGCTGAAGGGTCTCCAGCTTCTCTTCCGCCTCGTGAGCCCTCTGTCGGGCTTTCTGGTGAAACTCGGATTCTTTTCCCGACTGCTCAACAAGCTCTGAGACCCGGACTTCAAGCTGGGAGACCATCTGGAAACAGAGGCAGGGAGAGAGGCTTAGCCTCGTCTGGATCCAGCAAAGTTTTCAGATCTCTCACTCCGTCCAAGGAGCACAACCACTGTGACACCCACTTCTGGATCTTTCGTAAAAATTGTGTTTACAATGGGTCATTGGTAGCTGTGTTCTCCTCTGTTTGAAATAAATGTTTCTATAATTCTTTCAACACGTTTAGTCAATAAATATTTATAGATAACATTTACTTACCTCCGAAATTGTTAACTCAGAGATTTCAAAGCTAAGAAAAGGTCCGAACAAAAAGTAATTTCAAAAATATCACTTCCCCAGAGGTCCTTTCACTACACACAGCTGATTACAGATTGCACGGTGAATTTATCATGAGAAGCAGCCTGGGGGTTACTGGAAATTCTGCTTCAGACAGACCTTTTTCTTTTATTTAGTCTTCTAGCGAATATTGGTTACGCATGTCCTAGACTTCAGTAGGATAATTATATACTAATATTATCATGTTATTATCTGAAAGGTCAAATTCTTTTTAGTATGGTGACACCAAAATTTTTTCCCAGTATTTACATCCTTCCCAGTAATTCCTCTCCCTTGTCCTGATCATCCTTTCCCAAAAACAAGAGCAGAGGCTTAATCACAACTTGACGTGCGCTTTCAGACCACCCACATTGATTTTTCTGAACTCAGCTTTTAGGAAATGATGAGCACAATAAAATTGGGATAAAACATTGGCGAATACATACGCTTTTGTTTTGGTTTTGGAGGCAAAAAGGAAAAGAGTAATAGATGTTTACATAGTGCTACGGCGCTGTTCTTCAGTGTTAATCACCCTAACTGTTTTTAGCTCTTTTACAGTCTAAATTAAATACAGAAAACAAGCTTTGCTTTTTTCCTAGTCGTTTGTACAGACATGCTTAACACAAGACACTGAAAATGCCATCAAAATTTTTGAAACACTATTTTATATGTATGACTCACCCTCAAACAGCCAATGAATGAGCAATAAGCATAAATTAGAAAAGAAAGTCCACATTTGCGTCGATTTTCATTCACCCCTATGTAATATAATACAATAAACACATATTGTAAAATGTTCATTAAGAGCCAAAAATACAAACTGGCAAAAAAAAAAAAAAAAAAAAAAAAAAAAAAAAAAAATCTTCCATGAGCCTCCAGAGACCGTAATTATTTGTTTGTTTAAAACAATGTATTAGTTTTTTTTTTAACTTTTTTTTTTCTGTTTTGATTTTTTAAATTTCAGTCATTGTTAAATCATAAGAAGGTGGGGACTGAAAAGGAAGAGGTGGAGAAAGGAGCAGAATAAAAGATACAGGCTGGAAATTATTCTATAGAATTTACAGGGATCCATGAAAAAGGTGATAAAGTATTCTGCTGTTTGAAGAGCTGCTGTTTTCTAATTAACACTGTCAATTTAGAGACAATATAATAAAAGTCCAGCCAGTGACCAGCATCCGTTCACTGCAGTGCACCTGGGAAGGTGCTGGAGACAAACAGTGCTCGTATAACCCTCATGAATAAAATAATGTACTAGTTTTATACCGTTAAGATATAGTTAAGATTGTGTCATGTATACAACTTTCTGTTTAAGTATCATTTGATGTCATTCAAAATTAGTAGCTTTTCAGTGGTTGTATCCACCAGGAGAGGCCAGAGAGGTGACTCTGGTTAAGAGCACTTGTTCTTGTAGAGGACAAGGGCTCAATTCTCAGAACCAAATGATAGCTTACTACTGTATGTGACCCCAGTCCCAGGACCCAGTGACCTCTTGTGACCTGTAAGGTACATATACATACATACAGGCAAGACACTCATACATTAAAATAATAAATAAAATTTAAAAATTTTTCCAAAAAATCCATATAAGTCAGTTGTGCAGCATATGCCTAGCCTGTATGAGATTGGTTTCATCTCTAAAACAATTCACCATTAAAAACAAACAAAACATTCTCCATGCTGGAAGATAGAAGCAAGACTGTTGGAAGTTCCAGGCCAGCCTGGTCTATATGAGCCCATGTCTCAATGTTCCCACTCCCAGCCCAAGAATTCCTATATGAGAAAGGAAATTGTTTCTTCTGGTGGTTAACGCTGTCTAAACAAACACTAGACGGCAAACAAGTAGTGGATCCTGGTCAGTGGAGAAGGCCAGAGGCTAGTCAACTACTTGTTCCAGAGTGGACTGGACTGACACCCAAAAGAGGTTAGACCAAACAAACTAAAATCTCGTTCTATGCTTTTACGGCTTTCTGAGTACCAAGTCTATAATACAATTGCTTCTATACTTCAGCAGATGTATCACATTAGGTGAGTTCCTCAGAGCCTGGGAACTGTTTTTCCCAGGGAAATAGTTACTATAACCACAGAGCAGAAGATCCTGAGAGGCCTCAAGTCAGATTGTCGGCTCTTAGAACCACTACCAGTAGATACACTGGAGTTCAGTGTGGTGTGTCCATGTCTGTCATCCGTACTTCCACTCCAAAGTATGCATCCAACCGATCACTCTTTCCTTAGAGAGTGCTTTTAAACCTTCAGGAGTTTCCCTCTGTTGACAAGATGTGGTGGCCCATGCCTAGCACTTGGGAGATTTGGCAAGAAGATCAGGATATCCTTGGCTACCAAGCAAGTCCATGGTCAAGCCAGCCTGAGCTACACGAGATCCCATCTCAAAAAGTAATAAAAGAAGTAAGAAACTGTCCTGTTTCCCAAACTAGTTCTAGTTATGGAGTCTTTTGGTCAACTAGAAATTTTTCTACAGAGACAAGTGAGGAACAAGAGCACTTGAGTCAGAGCCAAGAGAACCCTGCCTGTACACCACCTGTGTGGACCCAAGGGTGCTGCAAAGAGCGCTGAAAGCCCAGCGCAGGCTATTTTGTATGCAACTAATAATTGGGTCGTTGTATCAAACTGCTACAGGATAGTCAGGGGTCTAGAGTGGAGCAGAGAGCTGATGCCCTCCCCAATCTACCCCACCAGAAAGCTGAGCTTCCAAAGCCTGGCTAGCTGTCAGGGTGCGTGTACTCACTCACACACTCATACACTCATACACACGCACACGCACACACACGCACCCACACATACGCATGCACGCACAAAGAGGTTTTTTTTTTCTCAAAACTAAATTTACATAAACTTATTCAAAGAAACTAACCCTGCCAGCTGACTCCACTCTCCAGCACTGGGCATCCCCCCAAACTGCAAACCTGTTCTTCACACCAACAGGCCTAAAGAAGCAACGGACTTTTCCTTCTTCCCTTCCTCCTTAGCGTTGTGCGAATGTGCCGCTGATGTTCCGTGAGGTCCTCGGCTAAGGATGTAGGGGCCTGGGGATGGAGGCACCTCAGAAAAGATGTGCCTCAAACTATCCTCCGGAGAGAGACAGCAGAGATTTGGGATGTAAGGCCATAACGCCCTCAGAGTTAACTCCCCTCCCAATGACAAGGAGTTGTTAATCTCCCCAGAAAGAACCTTGAAACTCTACCAAACAACAACACAAGAGCTCTGTGGCCAGAAAAAAAGCCTCCAAGGTCACTGAAGACCTGGTACCTTCTGGACAGAAACAACTTTTTCCTCTTATTCAAGTAATACCTTTCGGTTTTCAAAGTACATAAACTAAGTTATCAGGTAGCAAGGCTTACTATCAGCCACACTCCCCTTCCTTCATGTCAGTAAGTGTGGCCAACCATGTTGACAAGCTAACCCGTGACCTCCCTCTTTGTTCAAGCCAACTTTTGTTATGGGCTAACATGGTACCAGGAAAAAAAAAAAGTAGCTTAGTTTAACTCAGGACCTTGGAATTTAGAAACAAGCTCTTTACAGAGACAACCATGTTACAATTGGGATGGGATCTGGTTAATTTGCCCAGTGTCTTTATAAAAGAGAGAAAATTTAATGCAAAAACAGACACGTATAAAAGGAAGATACTGTGAAAACACAGGGAAAGCCCGTGCATTGGCCAGGGAGGGCCTGGGGCCATCAGGAGCCAGGGGAGCTATACAAACACAGGAACTGACCCAAACTACACCTTGACTACAGAATCCTAACTAACAGAATCCAGACCCGTCAGCTGGGTAGTTCTGTTGGCCACACCCAGCTAGCGGCATACTGCTAACACAGCGCCAGGAATCAGAAACAACTATGGAGGATAAAGACGACACAGCTGCTCCGGGAGTGAGCGGGCAAGGTAATTGTGGATGGTGGCATGTCAGTGGAAGTCTGCTGGGGCTTCTCAGAAATGTCTGCTCTACCGAGGGGCAGGAAAGGATGTGGGTCATGAGTTTGGAGGGTGGGGGTGCAGAACCTCCAGACTGGGAGAGGTTCCAGTAAAGACGGGCACACAGACTGTCTCCACCAACGTGAAGGGGCTGATGTGACTCTGTGTAGTTTAGGAAATGAGGAGAAATTGATGAGGCCACATCATCTCTATACATGACCAGTTCTCAGCCAGATTACTAAATTGGGAAATACCTCAAACTGTGGAAATTTTTGCCTCAAAGTTCTTAAGTAAAATCTAAATATGTTGCATGTTTTGGCCATCATGTAAGAAGTCTTTGTTCTTAAATATCTGTTACCTGTCTGGAAATTCAAGGCTCAATGGCAACTAAAGAGTCACTTTGGGTTTCTGAGAACGGAGCAGTATAACCTTCCTCTGAAGCAGAGGGGTTCAGTCAGAGATGATTTTGCCCTTGACAGAAAGACATTAGGCTATGTCTAGAGACCAATGGTTGTCTCAAATTGGGGCTGAGCTCCCACTGAGAGCTAACAGAAACTAGTTAGAGATGTTATGACACCCTGCAACTCACAGGACACTGTCACCATGTGACACACAAAAGCACGTGCACACGCACATACATACATGCATGCGCACACACATGCATATATATAAACACTCACATACACACAAGCACATATGTACACACACACATATACACACATGCACACAGACAGACACACATACTTATTATCCCATACAGACGGGGTGTGACGGTACACACCTGTAATCCCAACACCCAGGAGGCCAAGGCAAGAAGATCATGAGTTTAAGAACAGTCTGGCTGCAGAGTAAGATCCTCTCTTCAAAAAAAAAAAAAAAAGAATGAGCCAATCTAGTGTAAATATCAGCAGAACCATCCGTGGCTGAGAAAACCTGCTCTAAGATATGGTACAGCCTTTTAAAGGGAAAATCAAATTTTGCCAGAAGCAGAAATTCAAGGAAGAAATAGAGGCGACTTACTGAAGCTGTGGGGCGGTGTCCTCACTCACTAAGGACTGTTAATCCAGGAGAGGAGCGTGCATAGCCAAGGAGTAGACAAGAGAAGCAAGGTTCTGCAGGTAAGCGGGCACACAGGCAACGGTGTGCCAGGCCTTTACATGGATGACTCAACAGCTGGCTGCCTGTAGCCATGGCAGCTGGCAGGGAGAAGCAGCTCCTCAACAAACAGACTCATCAATTTGTAAAGCACCCATTCTTCGGAAACATTTCTAAGACAATACACAAAATCCTATTTTCTCCTGATTTTACTTGAAGATGAGTCACAAACACCAGCTAGATGCTTGATTTGGGGCTTTTAAATGGCAAGTGCAGCTATTGAGAAAAATTACAGGGTAGGGGAGGCCGAGAAAGACACTAAAAAGACTGAATCATTCTCATTTGTATGGGGAGTGGGGTAGGCAGAGCCGGCTTAACCAATTTATGCCACTTAACTTTAGGAAATAAACACACACATCATGCTGGCAACTGTACGCCTTGTTTCACATGCTGGAGTTAGAACAGAGAGGGGAAGCTAAGATATACAGAATGGAAGGCGACGCAGCGAGGGGGACGCAGCGAGGGGGGACGCAGCGAGGGGGACGCAGCGAGGGGGACGCTGGCTATTACTGCGACATATCGCCACTCAAAACTACTTCCTGGAGTTCTTCCCGCGTCTGTAAATGATTTCTTACCTCAGCTGAGTTCCTATATGTAAACTGAGTCACAGAAAAAAAAAAATAGACTCAGTCAGTAAATCACTTGCATTGCAAGGACTGAGACCTGAATTCAGTCACCAGAACCCAATAAAAGCAAAGCATGGGGAGGTAGAGACAGGCAGATCCCTGAGGCCCAGCGACCAGGCAGCCTAGCCTACTAGTGATTTTCAGGCCAGTGAGAAATCCTGTCTCAAAAAAAGAAGAAAAAAAAAATGGATGGTGCCTGAGGGACGAGGATACCCCATTCACTCACTTTCAAAAAAATAAAAAAATTAAATTTATTGTGTCTATTTAAGGTATGTAAAGATTTCTAAGATCCACATTTAGGAAATGTCTTAGAACAGACTACTGAACATGCCATCTCCTCTATGACCCTTTTTACTGCCACACGGATGGACCCAGGGGACACTGCCCTAAGTGAAAGAACTCTGACACAGAAAGAAAGATATTGCATGATCCCACCTATATGCAGAAGCTTTAAAAGGGGAAGAAACATCAAATATAAAGCAGTAGATGATAAAACTATAGTTACCAGGGACAGAAGGACAGAGGGTAGAGAGAACACAAAAGGCAGTGACCTGAGGGGGGTAGCACTGGAAGATGGAAAAGCACACTCGTCTCCTGAGCGAGTCTAACATCAAAAGAACTAGCCGAGGTGGGACTCCACAGGCTCTCGAGATTCCATCTACTTTCAAAGCTCGGTACCTAGGACACATGTCTCCATCTGGATACCTACAGCAGTCGAGGCTGACGTCAAAATTAAAGACAGAGCTACAGGACACCTGAATGGTCCCTCTTATTATTTATTAAGTAGGCCTCCTCCCAGACTCCCCTGGACTTGAGCACAGCATGCAGAGGACAGAAAGAGGGACGGAGGAGTTAGAGACCCAGCGGCAGCAGCAAACGCTGGTTGTTTTGATGTGCCAGCTGGTGTGTTATCATACACAATAACTGCTCCGCCGGGCACCTCCAGTAAACAATAACCTTGTGAAGCAAACACTGTTCACTCATTTCCTAGCAAGACCTGGCCTGACCTGACCTGCCAGGACAGCAAACCCTCAGCAGAAATGACTCAGGCTGTTTATAGTCTCCACTCATCCCGTCTGCAGTGGCCGGCAGCTTCCGCTGGAGCACAGGGACTGTGGCTGGTAAGGGGGTACAGTCTAGACCCCCTTGTGGAGAACATTGTGTGCCTGGTATATTGCTTTGTTGTACATTTACTTTACAAGCCCATGAATCCTAAATTCAAAAGCAGAGTGTGGTGGAAAAGGCCTGAAATCCTAGCATTCAGGAGGCCTTACAAAGCAAGAGGATTCCTGTGAGCTGGAAGCCAGCCTGAGCTACCTCAAAAACACCACTCACTCCCCAAAAGAGAAAAGGCACAATGAACCTGAAGAATTTTGCAGTTTTGACCAAGGACCGTGAACTTTTCGATAGTTGCTAATAAGATGAGAAAGTAAAACCTAAGAAACCGGGATGGTAACTCAGTGATAGAGCTTCCTTCCACATGTGAGAATCTGGGTTACATTATCAACATTACAAAAAAGAAATCAATGGGGACGGGGAGATGGCCCCGCAGTTAAAAGTGCTCCCTGTGTAAGCCAGAGGGTCAGGCCTGGGGCTCCAGAATCGACACTGAATGTCAGTGCCTGCGGCCTGTGTCTCCCCTGTCATCCTGACCTTGAAAGGCACAGCGAGGAACTCTCCTGAGAAAGCCGTCTAGTGAAGCTGACCACACTGCCAAGCTCTGGGGCTGACTGACAGAGCCTCAATGGTAGATGCCTGGTATCTACCACCAGACTCCACAGGCCCATGCACCTGCATGCTCCCACACACATGCAAACATACATACACACCACACACAGACACATGAAGGCAGGGGAAAGGGAGGAGAAAAAAAAATGGAAAAAGTCATTGAAAAGAATCTCAGAAACCATGAACTCGGGGTTCTGCCGGAGCTCATGCCACCATGAACAAATGCATATCAGCGACAGGCCTCAGCATGGACAGCTCCAACTCCATGAATGACTCGGGCCTTCCCGTGCAGCGGGAAGCCGAGCAAACATGCTCCATTATATAGTAACTAATTCCGAGGCAAGGCTACTGGGTGTGCTGAGCGAATGCTGAGGAAGCTGTACGTGGCAAGGACCGACTCACCCTTTTCTGGCTCTCTTCCTGGATGCCTAGCTCACGAACCCTCTCCAATAAGGCATCCTCTGTGGGCTCGGGTATGTCGAATCTGCTGCTAAGAAGCGCTGCGAGTTTCTCCCGGAAGCAGGAGCTCTGGCTCTGCGAGGCTGCGGCGGCATCCCTGCTGGCCCTCACGCTCAGGTCCAGCTGCTGGCAGCTCTTCCTCAGCTGGTTGAGCTCCTGCTTTGAAGCATCCCAGGCCCGCTGCACGGCAAGCAGCCGTTCTTGGAAGAGCTTAGCTTTTCTTTCTAGTGTTGTTCTCTCCTCCACAGCGCTGAGCACGTCCTGCAAGATTACGGAATGAGAACAGTCATGTACACCTGCGCTTGATAAGGTATCATTTGCCTCGCTTACCAGCGACTCGGTGACCGTAGGGTTGGATGTGCGTTACAGTTTTAGCCTAAGATTCTCCATTGCTTCATAAACTTATTAAATAAAGTTGTTTGGGCTGAAGAGATAGTCTAGTGGTTAAGAGCACTAGCTGCTCCTCCAAAAGACCCCAGTTTAGTTCCCAGCACCCACACGGCGGCTCATAACCACCTAAAACTCCAGTTCCAAGGGATCTGACACCCTCTTCCGACCTCCTCAGGCATGTGGTTTACATTGATGCATGTAAGCTAAACACTCACACACACATAAAAATAAATAAATCTTAACAATAAAAAAAAAAAACTGTTTGAGAGACCTAGGGTGTGACGAAGTTGGTAGTGTTTGTCTAGCATGCCCAATGCCTTAGGATCTATCCCCGACATCACAGAAACCCAGGCGCAGGGGTGAACAACTGGGAACCCAACACGGAGGAGACGGGCACAGGAGATTGGAAATTCAAAGTCATCATCAAATTCAAGTCATCACAGCAAGTTTGAGGCTAGCCTGGCCTACATAGGACACTGTCTCAAAAAAAAAAAAAAAAAAAGTTATTTGAATAAAGCTGCTGCTTTAATCCTGTTTAAAAGAAAAAAGAAAAGAAAAAGAAAAAACAGGTAGGTGGTGGTGTTACACATCCTTAGTCTCAGCACTTGGGAGGCAGAGGCAGGTGGATCTTGTGAGTTCAAGGCCAGCCAGAGCTACCCAGGGAAACCCTGTCTCAAAGGAAAAGAAAAAGAAAGTGGACTGGCTGTTCCTTAGAGGGGTCACTCCACGGAGGAGTACTGGATCTTTCTTCCAGTCCGTTGACTAACTTTTCTCTCAGAGAAAACGAGGCCTAAGAGAGCCTGAAGAAGGGAGAGTGAGAGAAAAGCTCTGTGGTGGGGAAGACAGTTGAAAGAGGGAGATAGGAGCCACACTAAGAGAATAATCCTTAACAATGCCATATGTATCCACAGACTGAGAAGAAAGTGCAGGCCATAGAGATGTGTGCCTACTTCTTCAATTAACCAATCACAGAAACACACAAATTCACATCAAATAAATCAAGCAAGTGGTTAGGCCGCCTTACGATAGATAGTCTTGCTGCTTAGTCAACTAAAGGACGTGGATTTTCCTTTTTATTTAAAACAGAATGTTAGGGGGCAAATTCCTTTTTATTTAAAACAGAATGTTAGGGGGCAAAGAGCACTAAAAAGCAACAACAGCCTTGAGCACAGACTCACCCAAGGGGGCCAGAAACATTTCTGGCTGTTAAAATACAATTATCCTGCTTACATTAGAAATGGTCTTTAATCTCCACCAACATCTAGGAGACAGGGAAGGGGTGAGCTGAAAGGCTACTTTCCACTTCATAGAGAAATGTAACATCTTCCCTTTTCTTACGGGGAGTACAAAACAAATAAATAAATATAAGTAAACAAGGAAGTCTCCGCCATCAGTAGGAAAGAAAAGCCACCCAAAGGCAAGTCATCAGGAAAGCCTACTCCTTGAAGGATAATAATGCATCATGGAGATTATTTTGTAAAATGCTTTGCTTTTTAGGGTCTTGGTTTTCCCTTCCTTTTTCAAGAAAACCCACTGCTAATTAAATCATGGGCCTTTACACAGAGCCCAAGGGTCCTTTATCAAAGATACCATATTCTCAGCATTTACAGATTTCTCTTCAGATAGGAACATGCTATCTGCCCACTTGCTCAGTTTTGGTAACCAGGATCAGTGTTGGTGATAATCAGCTGGACCTGTGGTTTTACTTAGAAAACTGATGTCCTAAATTCAGCGTTACAAGAATAAATGCTAACCCCAGTGGCTTCAGAGTTCCAAGGCCATACAGAATATTCCATATTAGCTTGTATATGGAAAGAATCCCCCTCATGGAAAAGCAGGAATCTCTCACTGTCAATACTGATATTTGAATGCAACTCTTCACAGAAAGCCTTTAAGATACATTTAAAAAAAAAAAAAAAAAACTATCAGAGTAGGATGGCTCAGAGGTTAAAGGCATTTGCCATGAAGCCCAAAGGTCTGATTTCAATCCCCAAAACCTGATGGTGAAAGGAGACAACAAACTCTGCCAGAAGTTGTCCTTCGACCTCCGTACATGGACATAGCATGCTAGCAACACACACAAAGATAGATGATAGACAGATAGACAGACAGATGGATGGATGATAGACAGACAGATGGATGGATGATAGACAGACAGTCAGGCAGACATATAGACAGAACACAATCTTAAAAAATTAAATCTATGAGATGCTAGAGTATGTTGGACTTGCTGACTACCTGAAGTAGATTAATCAAATGTCACCTAACACCAAAAGGGCAGTAAAAATAATTACAATGTTTCAGCTTTGAAGAATGTTTCTGCCCTACTATCACACTGCCAACAGTCTAACCTCCTGTGAATTGCAACCTCTCTGGAGGTCAAATGGCCCTTTCACAGGGTCACATATCAGAGCTTTATATACGATTCATAACAGCAGCAAAATTACTGTTAGGAAGTAACAACAAAAGTAGTTTTATGATTGGACGCCACCACAACAGAAGGGGCTGTATTAAAGGGTCTCAGCGTTAGGAGGGCCTCTTTTTAAATCAAAGTACGCATCACAACGTCTAATTAAATCACAAAAGTAGTTTGCTGGGGTTTTTTGTTTTTTGTTTTTTTGTTTGTTTGTTTCTGGAAATGTCCAGCCCAAGTGAACTCTAAGCTGCTGCTCTATGAAGTAAATAAGCGGAGCCAGCGTCCGACCTCAGGGACAGCCCCCCCCCCCCCCCCAGCGCTCTGGTTAGTCACGCTGGGACTCAGGGGCACGGCTGTGCTGGAAATAGATGTCCTCCGGACTGCAAACGCAATTACCTGCACAGGAGCAAGCCACCGGGCTGGAGTCTCACCGCATGGCTACCTCAAGGATACACAATCATGAGGCATGAGGTGACATGAGGGTGGCCAGCCAGGACCTGGCGACTGCTGTCAGACCATACTGACACGAAGCAGAAACAAACAGCTCCTTTCCCAGAAAACTCAGCGCTGACCTCCACTGAGGACACATCTGCAAACACAGGGCCAGCCCTAAGCAGACAATAATGCAAAACATTTTGTAATAAGTAACAAATGTTGCTGGCTGTGACACTATGATTTTAATGCCAGCATTTGGGTGGCAGAGGCAGGTGGATCTCTGTGAGTTCAAGGCCAGCCTGGCCTACTATAGTAAGCTCCAGGACAGGCAGGGATACATAAAGAGACCTTATCTCAACTATATCAAAATAATGACAACAATAATAACAATGCTAATAAGTCATCAAATGAATAATAATGATTTCACTATTACATTGAACAAAAATGCTATAAATAACATAAAGTGTTCAAGCAGATCCCTAGAGCTGGTGGGGCAGCCAGTCTGGCCTAACCAGTGAGCTTCAGGTTCAATAACAGGTCCTGTCTCAAAAATTTAGGGTAGTGAGCAGTAGAGGAAAAGACACCCCATCAACCACACACACACACACACACACACACACACACATTCACGCATGGCATACATGCACAACTGATTCCTAACTATAATACGTATTTATATATGACTAAGATGAAATCATTTCTTAAAATACAACAATTAGATTCAGAAATTATGGTACACAATGGAATACTACTCAGCTATTATGGTACACAATGGAAGAATGTATGGTGCACAGTGGAATACTACTCGGCTATTAAAAACAAGGAAATCATGAAATTTGCAGGCAAATGGTGGGAACTAGAAAAGATCATCCTGGGTGAGTTAACCCAGAAACAGAAAGACATGCATGTTGTATGCTCACATATAAGCAGATATTAGCCATATCATATAGGACAGCCATCTACAGACCTAAGGAAGCTAAACCCTAAGGAGGACCCTAAGAAGGATGCTTGAATCTCATTCAGAATGGCAAACAGGATAGACACCAGAATAGGTGGAAGAGAGGGAACAGGATGGGACTCTACTATAGAGGGTCCTCTGAAAGGATCCACCCAACAGGGGATCAAAGTAGATGCTGAGACTCACGGCCAAACTTGGGCAAAATGCAGGGAGTCTTTATGGAAGAGGGACATAGAGATGACAGGAGCCCCACAAGGAGACCAACAAAGCTAAAGGATCTGAGCCAAGGGAATCCTGCAGAAACTGAGGTACCAACCAAGGACCATGCATGGAGAGGACCTAGACCCCCTGCTCAGATGTGTCCAATTGGCAGCTCAGTCTCCATGTGGACCTCCGAGTGAGGAGAACAGGTACTGGCTCTGTCATGAACTCGGTTGTCTACTCTTTGATCACTCGTCCCTGGTGATGTAACCTTGCCAGACCACAGTGGAAGAGGATCCAGGCAGTCCTGATGAGACTTAACAAGCTATGGGCAGATGGCAATGGTGGAGAACTCCCCCTTTCAGTGGACTAGAGGATGGGGCCAAGGGGGGAAGAGGGAGGGAGGATGGGACTGGGGGGAGTTGAGGGAGGGGGCTTCAGTAGGGATATATAATGAAATAATTGTAAAAAAATTAATTTAAAATTAAAAATAAATAAATAAATTCAACAATTAGTTCTTGTCAAGGTGGGAATGTCTGGATGAAGTTTAATTCTCCCAAATAAACCAATTTATGAATTTAAAAAGTCAGCTGTTTAATTCTGGCCTCTGCAGCTAAGATTAATAAATAAACTCCACAATTTCCCCCACTGAGCAGCCCTCCCTTGTATTTGAATAGGGACAAGTTGGGCATAAATTTTTGATATAATACTTGACAAAATATAATGAGCAAATGTCTTTTAAAACTACACTTATAGTCCCAAAAATATAACCATAACCTAAATTATAAAGTATATAAATGACAAATATTCCAAAGTATACAATTAAAATACATATGTATGTCTCTGAGTGACATTGCACCT